TTTTTTTTTTTTTGGATTTTTAGCCCGAATAATCCGGCTCTGTTAGGGTTGAATGTGGGAGGTGGAGTGCACGTGAAGTTAAGGCTGCGGAGACCTAACCGGGATTGGGATTTTTATCCCTTTGATCAAGTTCTTGATACAATGCTTCACGAGCTTTGCCACAATGCCCATGGTCCTCATAATGCTAGTTTTTACAAGCTTTGGGATGAACTTAGAAAGGTCCATTTCGTTCTTTTAGATAGTCCTTAATCATCATTTTTCCAATGTCAAATGCTGTTTTATGGATGGTTCATTTCCACATTCATACTAATTTTCAGCATGGTAGTTCTTTTCATGTTAGCCTTGTTTGAGTTTGTGCTATTGTATTAAACCATTAAAGGCTCTAATTTGAGAGTTGGGGGTTATTTGAATCTCTGGCCTTTGAGGATCAAATCATCAACAAAGCGTCCATAGGTGTTTTGGGGAGTTCTTAAGATATTTTCTTGTAAGGAAACAGGAAAGCTGTTTGAATGGCAGTTGATATTTGGTTGTTGGTTAATATGCATTTGAGCTCTATATCGGTTTCTTTCCATCTGCAATTCATACCATTCTCTTTGTATGAAATGTCTTCTTGGGAGCTTTATACTGGTCTGTAGTGTATGTTCTTGAGATGTCCCATTTTTGCTTTCCTTGTTGTCATTTAGTTACTTGTGTTTCTGGAATTTTAACAATTAAATGGGAGTTAATTAAGGTCTGAAGAGACACCCTTACTTTCATCTTTGGATATTCTAAGGACATAGGATGAATTAATCCCGTTTGCTGTTTATTGCGTGTAAATAAGAAAATAATTTGGAGAATCTATATTTAAGTAGGGGAGCATGCTAGTTTTAATGTGTTTGCATATTTGTCCTTGTTATGTCCGTCCAGGAATGTGAGGAGCTCATGGCAAAAAGGATAACTGGCACAGGAGAGGGGTTTGATCTTCCTGGGAGGCGCTTGGGTGGATTTTCCCGACAACCTCCGCTTTCATCTCTTCGCCAAACTGCATTAACTGCAGCAGAAAACAGAGCACGCTTGGGGTCTCTATTACCTTCTGGACCTAAACGTCTTGGTGGTGACAGCACCATCATGGATGCACTTAGTCCAATACAAGCAGCTGCAATGGCTGCAGAAAGGAGATTGCAAGATGATATCTGGTGTGGTTCTCATCGCTCTGAGGTTGCTGGGGATGAAGAAAATAGTGCGGATACTCAGCAGGAACATTTGGACTTGGAGCAAAGAACAGAGAGCTTGAGGGTCAAAGATGTTTCTAGTGGACATGCTTTGGGTGGAAACTCTGGTAAACGAAGTCTTGAACCAGATAAAAATTTTCAATCCATGAACGACCATTTAGAATCGAGTTTTGTGGATTTAACTACAGATGCTCCGGTACTTGTATCTTTTATCAATTGTGGTGCCAGATCTCTTAAATCTCCTAAAAGGAGATGTAAATCTAATAACCTTATACCTACCCATTCTAGTTCAAGTGCCTCTTCTTCTGTGCCCAAGCTTAATGATGATTCTTCTGAAAGTCAAGGAATAACTGCTATGTGGGAGTGTGAATCATGCACTTTATTGAACCCGGTAAGTGTTTCATGCAGCAATAACGAAGTGTTTATAAGAAAATTCCTTTCTTGTATCTTACTTATTTTGCATGTCATTGATTTCAAACCAATGCAGCCATTAGCCCCAATATGTGAGCTTTGCTGCACAGAAAAGCCCAGAGACATTGGTACCAAGTACAAATTTTGGTCCTGCAAGTTTTGTACATTGGAAAACAGTGTGAAATTGGATAAATGCTCAGCATGTGATCAGTGGAGATATTCACATGGCCCTCCAGTATCGACTCGAGCACCCAATGTTGGCACATGAGAACTAATATCTACATGTCCATGCTTCATCTCATCCAAGTCAGTGGATCTCCCTTGGTGAAATTTTGTAAAAATGCCTTCTTAGAAGCCATGTGGAGCATTTTCTGGTGTTGGTTGCTTCTTTTGTTGTTATTATGATTGATGGTTGCTTGAAGCCAGCCCTTTTGTGATTTTTGTACCTTTTGGGAGGGAGAGCATTGTAATCTGGCTAGAAGTTCCTATTTTGGGGCGAAATGATACTCTTTTTTGTACCTTTTTCAATGTAAATACTAGCTCCAACTATACATTCTGATAAATTTTTTCCTCTTTTTCCTTCTCTTGTTCTTGCGTGACTAGCTTAAACAAGCACTGGTAATTAATAAACAAGAAATGAGCAAAGCAGAATAGCAAAGAATTGATAATTAATAAGCATAAGCTGAACAGAGGATTAAGATATGAAACTGTACAGATTCTCTTAATTCTTTTTTTTTCTTTTTCTTTGGATTGAATGAAATAATGAGGAAATTGAAGAAAAATAAATAAAGGGTAGTCATCTAAAACAACACACCTGTTTAGCCTGATATGAAATCATTGAATCCAACATGGCAGGAAAAACATCTAGTTAATGAAGGCAAGTGGATAAGGTTTTGGTTAACTGGTTCTGCCTCTCGAAGAAGATAGCTTGTCCAATCCTGTCTGCCCATGGACGATAGACCCCATGAAATACTGATCAGAATGTTGTTGAACAAAGGTGCACAGATACTAATGTTAGAGAAATTGACTTAATAATATCCCCTCTCTCTCTCTACCTGTAAATTATGTCAGAGTATGCAGTTTTATCATTGTTTATCCAGCTATGATCATCCCCATCATGGCCAGGTGGCCTAGGATACCTCCATATTGTACGTGATGAAGGAAGCTCTCACATGGTGAAATGACTGAGATGAAGTGTTGGGGTAGAAATCATGCAGTCATAGCACTAATTCATGGTTAGATGTTCCTACGGATGTAGTTGCAGAAACAGCATGTGTTTTGTCCTTAGAGCAGCCGCCACTGCCAACCTTGGACAACATGATTTTGATGGTTGGTCTTTGCCTGACCATCTCTAGGAATGCTTATAAGTATTGCTGAACCATGGCCATCTGCATTCAGGGCCCAGCTCCAAGTGGGATAGTGCTGTAGTAGAAGCTGCAAAAGAGGAAGAGAAAAGCCAGAGGGGAAGCCATGGATGGGGAAGAAGCAGTAAAAGAGGGTTGTCACAAAGTAAAGAGAAAAGAAGTGGAACTTGAAACATCTTCTTCTCTAGCTATTGACTCACTAAGCCGATTGCAGAAACAAGTTTGGGTTTACGTAGAATGGCCAGTTTGAAACTCCGGCGACACTGCTCGAAATCGTGACAAGTCATAATAATAATAATCCTTTGCTTGTCCTTTCTCTGGCGTAAAAAATGGGTTACATCGAGATTACTATTTTGTTAAATTAAGATATGACTATGATAATTATGTCAACAGTGTGGTCGGTATTATCCTGCTTAACAATTGCACCTAGGATTCTGTTTTAAATATGAGTTGAGGTTGCTCGGTAGCCCATTGTGTGTAGACAAAGAAGCCTAAGTGAAGCCCAGTCATCATGGTGAACATACATGAAATTTTGAACTCCTAAGAGTATTTTGAACTGCTGTAAATGATTCCATTAATGGATATCTACAAGCTTCCATTGTGGTTGCGGTTCGCTCAAAAAATAATGATAATAGGATACACTGCCTTTTCATGTGATAATCATCAAACCTGGCTGGTAGGTGACCAGCAGATCCCCATTCAATACACCATGCTGGCATTCATCTTGTGGAAACGCTCCAAAGGCACAACCCCAACTACTTAATAACAGATTTCTTCCTTCTTTTATGCGAGATGATGTGGTTTTTTGTATGTATTTTAAACTTAATCTTTGACCCTTGATAAACAATTCATTGGGTTTGGAGAGAGACCATGCTGAATGAATGCATACCTTAGAGGAAAGGAGAAAACATTTGCTTCAACTATAAAGCACCCCCCAAAACATTATAGTTTTATGTATGAGTGGGAAATAAAATAAAGAAGCTTGAAACAGTGGCTATCCTAGCACTGCAAAGTCTAAGAAGAAAAGCCATTAGGATTCATAACAAGTGGAATGAGAAAGAAATAAAAAAAAATAAAGATGCTTTTTGTAAGAACATGGGGATCTTTGAAACTCCACACAGATTTCATTTGCTTGTGGCTTTGTGGAAGCAAACAAAGATAAACAAATATGGGACATTGAAAGTCATTGCAATTATCTTTTCACACCCACAGATCATTTTGAATTTGACTTTGTATTCTCCATTTTTTACTCTTCTTATCATCACAAAGGCTGTAGGCAGCTTGGGACATAGCTAAATTTCTTTTCTTTGTTTGTATTTAAGGAACGTTGAGTCATTAATTCTTAATTTTCATGCATAAAAATGATGATGAAGGGGAAGGAAGCTGAAGCTGAACCTTTAAGAAAGAAAGAACATGAAAAAGAAAACAAAGGATATGGGAAAAACCCCACTGGGCCAAACAGTTTGTAATGGCAGGAACACCTGCTGTTATGAGGGCCCATGGACATATGGCCTATCCAAATGAGTGATGGACTCAGCCCCCAATTTACAATCTATAAAAAATATTGTTTATTTATGTTATTTATTCTTATTTTACCTGTCTTCTCCTACCATTTCTGGTTTCTCATTCTCTCACCATCAGCGGCTGCATGCCAAACCTCTGCAACTTCCAAACTACCCACCAAAATGTCCTTTTTTGGCTCTCACTTTTCACCTCTTGCCCTGGCATCCTTTGTCACCTCTCTCTTTTTCCACTCTCTCATGTTCCACACATCAGAACAAAGGCAAAGTCTTCAACTTTCACCTCTTTCTTGAACCCTTGAAAAAACTTGAAATCTTCCAACAAGGATCCTGTTTTGATGCTAAAGATTGTGAGTTTAAGTCTAAAGAAAAGTGCCCATTTTGCGGTTTGCTTGATGATTCTCTTAGTTCAGTCAGTCAAAGCCATATCTTGGTCCCTTTTGGTTCTTTCAAGCTTGGACTTCAGTTTTCTTGGGTTTTTCTCTGATCTACTTGCAGATCTTCAAGGCTCAGCTTTTACTGAGTTCTGGTCAGTTTTTTCTAATTCCCCTCTGTTGTTTGGTAGAATTCTTTGAAATTTTAGCTGGAGAGTCATGGTGGCATCTTTGGGGTTAGTATTTGTTAGTTGTAGCTTTGATTGAATGCAAAAAGCTTCTTTTTTGTTCATTTTGAAGGTGGCCTAGTCAGCTGGATATTTTCTGTTCAAGCATTTGTAACTTATTTGAGGAATCCATTGTTAGGTAGTTGGAGTTTCTGATCTTTTAGATAGTCAAACGCTTATCTTCTGTAAATTTTAGTCAGTTTTGTGAGATTCCTTGTTTTTCTTCTTCTTTTTTGAGTCATTCCACGTTTTGGTTTGGGCTAGAGGGATCGTTTTAAAGGTAATAACTTGTTGCCATATTCTAGCTATCTTCCGGATGATTGTATGGTGGTTGTCATTTTGGCAGCTAATTTACTAGTGTTAAAATCCTTTTCCAATTTTATTGGGAATTTAGTTATGTGAATAGGTAGTCAAGCAGATTCTGTGTTGTAAATCTCCTCTTGGTCCTTTATACCAAAATGTCTGGAAATGGTCATTGTTTCGTCGAGTGGAAGGAGGAATTTGTTTCCCAGGAGCGTGGTAACCGTGTGGTTCACTATTTCTTGAAGGATTCTTCTGGGGAATCCATCCGTGCGGTTATTGGTACTGAGAGGAGTGTTAGGCACATGTTTTATGTTGTTGCTGAGGAGTTTGTGAGGGTATATGGGGCAGAGCATTCAATTCATGCTGGTTTCAAATGGAGGTCGAGAAGAGAGGTTGTGGATTGGCTTACATCTATGCTCTCAAAGCAGCATCTGCAGGGAGATCGATCTAGTATGTATTTCATCTTTTCTTCTTTTATTCCGTTATTTTCTTGGCTTCAAAATATAGTACTAGTAAATCACACAAGGATGCATCATTTACAGTGCATTTAAATATAAGACCTTCTTAACAAATCAGTTTAGAATTCTGAAGTGATCTACAATTCTGTTTAGCAGGCATCACCCAAGCTTAATGATTAAACTTGGCATCTTCACTTGTCCTTTATATAAGAGTTTAATGTTGAATTTGAGGTCTTCTATGAGTTTTTCTTTACTGCCCATCACATACTTGTAACTAGATTTCATTTTTCTTCCACTTTTTTACAAAATTATAATCTTTATAAAGTCACATGTGGTAGTACACTTTTAGATGGATGTAAAAAATGTCATTATGAACTATTGTTGAATGGTTTGGTTCTTCCTACCATTTATGGTTGAAGCAACAAACTAGGCAAAGTCATTGATCTTTAGAATTCATCTATCTTCTCCAAGGAACCACTATGCAAAGTATCCCTGAAATTTGCAGTTTTATAACGTCTTCAATGACAGAGTCACCAAAACATGAAGCGCTGCTAGCTTTGGCATCTCCTGATTGTGCAACGAATGAGATTAGTGCTCGGAAGGCCCAAGCACTGGATGATATGGTATATCAACTTGATTTTCTTTTTGTTCAGTTCCTTATTCTTTGTTTAGATGTTTACCTGACACTGACTTTTTTATTACAGGGCCATCTTTCGAGAAATTGGAATGGACCAAGTTCAGATATTGTGTGGTCAGGCACTGCTTGGACATGTGGTAAACAGCTCAAACATTTCCCAGCATTTGGCCGCAATGGGACCACAATAGCGGTAAGCATCAACAAGTAAAGAAAAGAAAGATGGCACAGATTGATGCTGGACTTTTATAAATGGAAGGACATGCATGGATCTACTTGCCTAACTCTAATCGAATGATGAAACTTGGTCAGATTTCATAAATTTTTAATTGGTAGGCATGGATTGGGCAATATCATTTCTTCTTGGGACCAGGCATCATGCGTTTGGATGGGACTTTGTCATTTGTGTTTTCTTTGACTGTGAAGTTCACTGATGTTTGTCCTTTTCGTTTCTTTCCTGATGCTCAGGTTCAGTCCTTTGTCTTTGTCATGGCTAAAGGAGAGAATCACTACCTTGCTTACTTGGAGGACATGTACGAAGACAAGCGAGGCCAGAAGAAGGTTAAAGTGAGGTGGTTTCACCATACTAAGGAAGTCAAGGGTGTTGTCCCTGTAAGGAATCCTCATCCAAAAGAAGTTTTTATCACGCCTTATTCGCAGGTCATTAGTGCTGAGTGTGTTGATGGTCTTGCCTGTGTCTTAACTCGTGAGCACTACGAGAAATGCTCAGCTGTGTTTCCTGATGCTTTATTAGCCAGAGTGCATGTGTGCTCTAGGCAGTTCAGAAGTAATAAAGTGAAGCCATTTGATTTGAGTAAATTGCGCGGGTATTTTGATCAACCGATACTGTCTTGTTTGAATTCCAGTATGTTCTCAGAGCCTGACTCCATGAGCCATGGCCTAAATGAAGAAGGGGAGGAAGAACTAAGTCCCAGTGAAAATGTAAAGCTGGGAAATAAGAGGACCAGAACTAATAGAAGTAGTCAAAGGTTTGTGACAGATCATTCAGGAAACAGGATTTCTGGTAACCACTTGATGACTTATGAAACTTCATACAAGAAAATAAAATATGCCTTGTCTGGCAAGAGTTTGCTTTCCCTCAAGCATGTTGACTGTCAACCATGGCATGGCTCAGTTTTCAAGGTTGATGAAAAGATAGAGTTACTGTGCCAAGATAGTGGCATCCGAGGCTGCTGGTTCAGATGTACAGTCTTGCAAGTATCAAGAAAACAGATGAAGGTTCAATATGATGATGTGCAGGATGAAGATGGATATGGCAAGCTTGAGGTATGCTTTAGGCTGTAAAATATCGTTTTATCTTTCCAATTAGTTGATCTCAATAAAGTAGCATAGTGTGTAAATAACAAATTTCCATTTGATATTCGTCACGAACAGTGGTTATTCAGGTTGATGGTTTGAAATGTTTTGCCACTTTGCAGTGCTGCAAAACTGATTCTCTAGTTTAGTTATACTGGGTTTGAAACTGGGTTCGATTTTAATAAACCCTCTCTTATAGTTTGCTATTGAATTATTTTGCCGTCACTTGTTTTCGGTGTTTCTCTTGTTTTCTCTATTCTTCAAGGAGGAAAGAATTGAGAAAATATTGCTATGTAACAGACTTAGCCCTGTCAATATTTTGTATGTAAATGAAATATGACTTGTATGTGTCTTATTTTTTTCTCATAAATGTGTTTGTTCTTCTCTATGAAATGAAAGCTGATGCAGTCGCCATTGTGTAGGAATGGATCCCAATTTTCAAGCTTGCTATGCCTGACAAACTTGGCATGAGGTACTCAGGCCGCCGAACAATTCGACCTGCTCCTGCTAGCTCTGAAACAGTGCTTGCCTTTGATGTTGGGTCTGCTGTTGATGCATGGTGGAGCGATGGGTGGTGGGAAGGAGTTGTAACTGGAGTGAACAGCAGTGGTGATCATAATCTGCAAGTTTACTTTCCTGGTATATTTGTTTTGAAAAGTATATGTTGCGGTTGCTTCTTGTTTATTGTGATCTGATTGATGCTTTCTCTTATCCCACTTCAACTAATAATTACTCTTATGGTGTTAGGTGAAAATCTATTCCTGAGCATAGATAAAAAGGATCTAAGAATTTCCAGAGATTGGGATGGGGATCGCTGGATTGATATTGAGGCCAGACCTGATATGCTCTCTCTGATATCTACTGCCATTAGCCCAGACATGGACACCAAAGTTTCCATGTCCTCTACTGTTGTCATGGATGCCAAGTTTGATGGCAGTGCTATGCCAATGGAAGTTGTTGCTGCCAAAACTACACTCAATGTTGTTCACGGGGAAAAGCCTGAATTAGCTATTCAGTACTGTTCTGGGGGTAAGGAGCTTCAATCATCAAAAGATGAAAAAGATGGAGATGGTAGTGATGTTAAGAAGCCTCCACCATCAGAAAATGGTGATAATGATGGAAATGCTGATGATGCCAACACCATTCATGATCAACTAAATGATGTGGATGGTAATGACAAAAACAACAACGCCAACAACAGCAATGATGGTAAGGAAGGCAAGTTAGAGACAGAGAATGACATGGAGCAGGATTGTAAATCTACAGAACTCGTGGAAGTGACAACTTAGAATGTTTTCGAAGGGGAGTTTTTGATGCAACTGATTCTTTTGTAACAGGGATGTTGGTATTGATGTCGACTAACCACGGCTTAAGTTAGTTAAGACCTCTGTAAATAGTGACGCAGGCGTAGCGCAAAGTCATTGTGTTTTGTGTTTGACTTGGTGGCCTTGGTCAGTGTACAGTAACCAGGTTAGTTTTTTGTTGGTTTCTGTTTGTTATTGTTATTAGACATAGGATTCTCGTTCAAGGATCTTTGGTTAGGAGCTTCTCTAAAATGGAGTCAGTTCTTCGCTCAGTTTCATAGTCACGGGCTTTGCTTGTATCTTTGTAAACCCTAATCTCTATTCTCTTGTAATGAGAATCATGTTTTCTTGACTTTGTATTCTTGCATACCGGGACAATCACCCCTGCAGCCTCCCCAACTACCTAACACCGGCACCTTCCTTTATCCAATCTATAGATTAGTATAATTTGTAAGTCTTGATGATTAGTTTATTAGTATTATTTTGTAATTATTTATTATTTTTTCCATTCTGTCAGTAAATGATGTGTTGTTTGTCTCAGATGACATGCATGAGGTGAGTTTTTCTGTTTGAAGGTAAATGGAGAGTTTGGGTCAAATCTTTGACGTGGTCCTTGGGGACATTGAGACATAAACAATACTGGATTGATTTTCTTGGGGATCATTTAGGAAAGAAAATATAAACACTATTGTCTTTCATTGTAATGGGTATAGTTACATTTAAAAGAATATATACCATTAAGATTGTTTGAGTAAAACCCTGTTGAAGGGTAAAAAATTTTGGTGGATGTATGGGAGAGAAGGCCTGGCATGAATAATGAAGATGAGAGTGGAATGAGTCGTGGAAAATGGTTATAATCTCAGCCATTGTTCTCCATCTATGAATTTCATGTCCAGGAATGGTTTTGCTTCTTGATAGCTGAGTTTCTTTGACCATGGCACCCTGCCTCTTGTATCTGCTCCTGATCCCCTGCACTGGAATTCCCCAAACACTGCAGTCCTGCATATGCAAAAATTGGAAGTGTATCAGGTTTTTGTACATTCAACTTAGACAAGCAATTTCATTGAACTTCTGCTGGAATGGAGATCATACTTTTGCCTTACAGGGTAGTTCCAGTCACTCCATCCGGCTGGAGTTATGATGTCGTCAAAGTAACAGTTGGAATAGATAGCTCTGGAATAGTTTCCCCAAGCTCTTCCCAGGTAAATTTTTCCAGTTCCACTGATTATGCAGTTTACAAATGAAAACCCTGTATTATCATTCGGTGAATCCCTATGGTGAGCTGCAATCGCTCCATACCTTTTGGCAGTGGACTGAAGCACACAATCCTGCTTCAAAGACGCCAGCGTGAGTATTTTATGAAGGAAATGTGACAATCATGCTCCAAACTTAGGTAATTTACCTGATAGAGTGATCTTGATCTACCGAAGATGAAGTCGACACTGCCTTGAATGTGACACTTATAGAAGTAGTGTGATCCAGTTTCATCCAGGAGTGTGTCCTGTGACCCGACAACCTTGACCTTGTAGAACATTGCTTTGTCACCAGAAATCCTGAGGGCCACAGCTTGCATTCCATATTCGCCAGGAGCTGCAACAACCGTGTTCTGCAACCCAATTGATCATTCTTTACAGTGATGAAATCAACTAGCATTCACTGATTTTGATGAATCAAATAAGGTTAATTATCACCTCAAATGTGATATCGGTTGCACAAAAGTAATCGGATTCTATGGTGACAGTTGCTGATTTGTAAGTTCCAAGCTCGCAGCCATTGCTATCTTTATCAGAAGCTTTGTCGTTCCAAGAAATTATGGTGTTAGACATCAGTCCTTCGTTCCCGATGAATGATATGTATGGCTTGCATCTTGGGACAATTACTTTCTCCCTGCATGACAGACATGAATTAACTCCATGGATTGTTTATCAGATTAAAGCATGACCAAAGTTTATCAGCTACCATTCTCATCTCTCAAATTGCAGACAACCATAAGGTTCTTGCATCACTAAACAGAAAATAAAATATTGTAAGAGACAGAACAGAGAAGAACAATCAATCCCATGAATGTTTTAACTGTCAAATCCATTGAAATCGAAGTGCAGCCAGAGAGATTGACCTCTGAAAATTGTAAAAAACATAAATAATTGTGAAATATGCATGCGGACCTGTAAATTCCTGGAAGAATATAAATCTTCACTCTTTGTTTATTTCCTTCAGGCACCATATCTATTGCTCCTTGAACCGTGACAGAATCTCCTCCACCATTCTTATCAACCACGATAATACGACTTTGATTATAATCAACTCTTGAACTCACCCTTGCTAGTTTATGTTCATCCACTTTCATGTCATCCCAACTGATAAAAGTCTCCCCATGATTCACATCGTTATTAAATAAACCAACTCGAGCACCATGGGAGGAAGCAACAAGAAGCATAACAAAAGCACTGAAGACAAAGCAGCTGTAGCCCATAGCTCTTTCGATTCCGTTCTGCCACTACCAATGCATCAAAAAATCCACAAACAAAGCAAACCCCATGTGTTTTTTTTCCTTCACTCTCCAGGATTTATATGATCGTTGGTGTTTTCAGGAGTTACAATGTGTGAAGTCGAAAGGGTGTGAAAGAGGTGAGAGTAATAAATAAAAGGAGCGTAAGGTGGTGTGTGTGTGTGTGTGTGTGTTAAGAGTCCTTTGTGTAACTCAAAGCAAGAAAATCATATCAGAATTGCATTAAAAGGAAGTGTAATCATGGTAGAACAAGGATTAACAGAAGAAAAGGGCATGAGTTTGAGGATGTAAAGAATTGAAGAAAGGAAGTTCATGAGAGTTTTGTGCATGGCAAACCCTTTTAAAACTATGTCGATTGAGAGCTTTTTCTGAACATGGAGGAGGTGGTTTCTTGATGTGTTAGATAAAAGAAATTATGGAAGCAAAACAGCAGTTATGCTCCTTTTAGCTGGAAAACTGAAAAAGAAACAACATTCTTCAATTTACCAAGCCAGCCTCTTTTAATGAGCAGTTTCTTTTTCTTTTACAAGGTTTGATTAGTACAAGAATCATAGCTCCCTCCTGTGAATCATCACATAGGAATTAAGTTTCTTTACAGGAAGAAGAGATTCGAATCCAATTCTTTCGATTAGAAAAATAAAATTATTGTTTGTCAAAAATACTATATCAAAACATCATTTCATCCCAAAAATTAAAATTTAAGACAATGAGATACAACAAAGAGAGACCATTCCAAGTGTTGAAGGATGCCAACCAATGTACTTGAGATCTTGATTGCACTTGTAGAGTAGCCCAATCTATGTTTCTCCAAATGTCCTGGATAGAGTCTAGAGGATACCAACATGCCCACCTTGACTTTTGTGGAAGTGAATAAATGAGCAATGATGGGTTTGCCATCATAGTTTCTCTATTGAAATGAGAAGCTCTCTCCTCTCCTCCTCTGCATGTTTGTAATTGAAATTCCAAGGAGATTAATGCCTTTTAACCTTAAGTTTTAAAGATTGAAAGAAACATTGAAATGTAACATGTTTATGTCATTAGGGATGAGCAATTTTCAACCTGAAATCGAATTAATCAAATGAATCAAATAAATTTAATTAAGATAAGTTAGTTTATTCGAGTTTTCGATTAATTCGAAAGTGAGTATAGTTAAATTGATTAAGTCGAATCAATTTTAATTTTGAATTTTTAATTTATGCCTGCAATTGGATCAGGGTTGACTTTTGGGTAAAATCACTCAAGTAAGAGTTTCAAGTCTCCATAATTAAGATGAATTACAAAAGTTTGATTTTTTTTTTTTTAAGTTTTAGGCCTCAAATTTGGAGATATCTTATAATTTTATAATAATATAATTAATTATATTAAAAATATATAAATAAAAATATTTAATAAAATATATATTTAATAATTTTCAATAATTTTTTTATATATAATTAATTATTTTTTACTTATAATATTAATTTTTGAATTTTTCTTTCCTCACCTACTTTTTTTTCCTTTAACTTTAATTTTTTTATAAAAATATTTAAAAAGTTAGTTATGCTGTTATTTTCATAAAATCGTAACCTTATTTAGAATTGATTACTTTATATATATATATATATATATATATATATATATATATTAAATCAAGCAATTTTTTCACTTTAAAGTAGATTTGAATAATTTAAGATATATGAAATTATTTTTGATTTTTTATTTAACGGTAAAAAATTGAAGTCATTAGATGATAATAGCAATATTGCCTTAAAGAAATTATATAAGTGGAAGATAACAGTACAATTGACATCCTTAATTATATAAAAACATTTGATTCTTTTCCAAATGTATATATTGCTTTGAGAATAATGTTAACAATTTTGTTAAGTGTTGTTTCAGAGAAAAAAAAATTTTCAAAAGTAAAACTAATAAAATCTTAATTAAGATCAACGATGTATCAAGAAGGATTAAATAGATCAATTATATTATCAATTGCAAAAAAATTATTAAAAGGACTTGATTATAAAAATTTAATTAAAAATTTTATATCTCAAAAAATTAAAAAAAATAAAATTTTAATAAAAAAAATCTTATTTGAATATTTCATATCATTATTAGTGGTACATTCATATGATAAGATCTTGGGCTTCAAATAGGCCCAATAAGAAAGAACTCTTGTCAGAGATAAGAAGAAGAAAGTCTCTGCTTTGGGCTTACCAGTGAGCCCAACTGAAGAAAACCTCTCACCAGAAAGCAGAAGGAACTTTTGGATAGAACTCTGTGTCTCTGGTGTGAGTTACAGAAGAAGGGTTTCTGAAATCTCTCTACTCTATAGCAAAACAAGGAAAAGGTTATTCAATTTTGCAATGGCAGTATCATCAATCTCTTCAATTCTGATACCTTCTTTAACAATCCCAAATCCTCCCTCACCCAAACCAAAGTTTAATCTTTTATCTCATTCTTCACCAATCTCTTTCAACCCTTTGAAGCTCAGCAACAGTACCCTTAAACTTTCACAGTCACCCACCAAGCTTTTTTCTGCCCCTGAAGCTTTGGAAGAAACACCTGAGGTTTGTAAAAGTTTCTTCCTTTTTTCTTCTTACTTCTTGTGAAATTTATTTTTTTTTAAGCTTTTGATTGCTGAGAAATCATGGGAATGAAAAAGGCTTAGTCTTTTGGCTTGATGGGGTTGAGTTTATTAAAGTGCATTTGAATAATTCTTTGTTGGTTTGCAATTTCTTTTTACGTTCAAATGAGCCTACTTCATTACGGTTAAGTCATTTTTGAAACTAGGAACACCAAAGAAGGGAGGTTAGGTTGATATTAAATTCCCATATTTTGCTTTGAATTTAAGTTTCTGTCTTGCAGGTTGGAGGTTCAGAGGTGCCCAGTTCTTCATCTGTTAGTGCGGAAGCGGATAAGGTATCTTTCTGAGCTATTTTTGAGATTGTAAAAGCTGTTTAAAACTGAGATATTATGTTTGGCACTGAAGTTCAAGTAAGTTCTGGATTCCACCATGTTGTTATGCTTTTTATGGGATACTGTATACGAGCAGCTTATATGTAATAGTATCAGACCTACTCATCCGTCCCGTATGACATTCTTGTTCGAGGATGATATTCTTGCTCCCCGTGAACACCCCTCTGGAGGAATAGGCATGTTACTTTTAGGAATACATCTTTCAAACCCATTGATAAAAGGAAGTACCTTGCCTATCTTCTGATATGATTCTGTGGATGCAACTAGGAAGCTCAGATGGCGAAAGGTTATTTAATTCTTGTCCTGAATTTTGTAGCGTACTATGGCCCTGTGAGAGTTTGATGATAGGTGTCTTCTTTTCATATGTCATTGCTTCATTATAGAAATCTTTGCATATGTCAGACTGTATTAGGGATGTCCTGGAATTTTGTTACTGTCTCACAGAATGATTGCAGTAGGGACAAGAAACTTATAAAAACTTGCCAAGCGTCCCCTCCTTGCACATGGTGATACTCAAGTATGCTAGTAATTATACACAAGTTAATCTCAAGCTGATTGCCATCTAGCTGATCCTCAGAAAGTCTGCTTAGACATGTTTTATCATCAAACTGTAGAGAGATAAATCATGGAGTTGTCAGACGTTGCCTCTTTTACCTTGTAATACCATCCTGCTACGAAAGAATTATCTCCTCTCGCATGTCAAACTCCTGAATTGCTTCTTTTGAAGAGCAGTTAACTGTAATTTACATGAGTCTCACCTTTAGACATGGAGTTGATTTGCTAGTCAATGGGTTTATCTCGGAAGATTGCAAATGGACTGATAGGAAATCCAAGTGACTGAACCAGTAGAAGTCTGATAATTGTACAATGATGAGGTTGAAGAATGCTAGAGAATCTACTTTTGTCTAAATCGATTCTACTTTTATCTTGTTTTCCAGTAGTTATATTTGAGTTCTGATTCAAGTTTCTTTTCACAGACGGCACCTAAGCAGAAGATTAGAATTAAACTTAGGTCATACTGGGTCCCCCTGATTGAGGACTCTTGCAAGCAGATAATGGATGCTGCACGGACTACCAATGCTAAGACTATGGGTCCTGTGCCGTTACCAACCAAGAAGAGGATCTATTGTGTTCTTAAATCCCCACACGTGCACAAGGATGCAAGGTTCCACTTTGAGATCCGGACACACCAGCGCCTCATAGATATTCTATACCCAACTGCACAAACAATTGATTCTTTGATGCAGCTTGACCTTCCTGCTGGGGTTGATGTAGAAGTCAAGCTCTAATGAAGCAACAATGTAGCTTAGGTAAATTTTGTATAGTTGCTAAAGATGTCCCTTAAATTAAAAGCTGCTATATTTCTTTCCTTGAAGTTTGAATAAATAAAAGTGTTTTTTGCAACTCAATGCAACTTCCTTGAAGTTTTTTGAAGAACTTCAAGAGATTGAAATATCAAAAGCACTGAATTGTTAATTGTAGAAGCTGAAGTCTGTTACCTTTCTTTGTTTTTATTTCCAGAAAACATGGAAAGTTGTTTAGTGCTTGGTACCTACTCCCTTTTACACCTTTGAAGAGAAACATTATTTACATTTTCCTTCGCAAATTGAGTCTTGAAATGCCATACTTTTGATCTATGACCTGTTTCCTCATTATATCCATAAGCCTTACTGTTGAATCCTCTACATGTTGTGCATTTAATTAGAAGATAATATTAGCTCAAATTGCATGAAGTGCTCGAGATTAATTTCTATCAGTGAACATATTTCAGTGGCCCACGTCCACTCTAAGTCATGAATTACCATTCTGATTGTGATAGACATGTTAATCTATGTTTTTAATTGCTTCGGAAATTTTGGTTATGATACATGTCTTACGCTATACATATTATTTGCTTCTGGTCTGTTTAACTAGGAGATTTTGATCTTAATGTTCATCAAATGGTCAGGGCAATGCTAGGTGCTGGATTCTTTCAAGAACAAGTTCTACCAGGGTAATCGTCATTG